ACTTCGAAAAATGCCAACTGGCACCAGTTTTGGCCCACGAGCTGCATTAGGGAGGCTCCGACAGCGTTGCTAGAGGCATCTGTGAAAAGGCCCAAGGGGGCCTCTGGCTTCGGGTGTGAAAGTAGAGGGGCGTTGCAGAGGGGAATCTTTCAGTCTTCGAACGCTCGAGTAAGAAGTGGCGTCCAAGTTACAGGATAAGTGCCTCGTATGCCAGCCAGCGCGTCTCAGAAAGGGGCCTGATATGTGGCCGCTTTAAGCATGAAGCGCCTGTAAATGTTGATAATGTCCAGGAAACGGTGAAGGTCTTTCACTGTTACGGGCGGCGCGAAGTTCTGGAGGGCCAAGATGTGGTCTGGCAAGGATGTAGTCCCTTCCGAAGAAATTTGATGGCCGAGAAACGTGACGACGGGAGCGCTGAACGTGCTCTTCCGGGTGTTTATGAGTAAGCCGTGGTCGCTGAGACGTTGAAACAGTTGGCGAAGATGTTGGCGGTAATCCTTTTCGTTGGGGAAAAAAACTAGGATGTCGTCTAGGTAGACAAAACAGAAGTATATGCCACGAACGGCCTCGTCGATGAAACGTTGGAAGGTTTGTCCTGCGTTGCGGAGGCCAAAGCTCATGAAAGGAAATTCGAATAAGACGAAGGGCAGGATGATCACGGTCTTCGGGTCGTCATCAGGGTTCACAGGAATTTGTGCGCAGGCCTTTACCAGATCGACAACTGCAATACGGTGCTGCCGAGTAAGCGGCAGGCGAAATCCTGCGTGTAACGAACGGAGTGCCTGTCCGAGATGGTATGGGCGTTGAGAGTGCGATAATCTCCGCAGGGCCGCCAGCCATCGGTCTTCTTGCGCACTCAATGAAACGGTGAGGCATAAGGCCCCTACGAATGCCAGGCAGTACCTTTGCGGAGCATCACTTCAAACTCTGGTTGGGCGATTCGAAGATGGTCCAAGTAAGGCGATGGGCGCGTCAAGAGAGTGGGGGGCCGGGCGTGGTGCAGATGTAATGCCCGGTTGAGTGGTTGACGTCTCGGGGATGCCCACTAGGTTGTGTCAGGCCAGGAAATTGTGCGAGGATGGCTTCAATAGGTCCGACACGAATATCTAATATGCTTAGCTTTCCATTAAATTTCGTCCAACGAGTACCTTCAAAAGTCCTTGATATACCGCTTAACCTCACCGGGACCGTGATGAAGGCTATATGAAGACCTCCGAACCGGAAGGCATCTGTTTGTAATATCAGTGGGTTAACCATGGCTTTGAAGCCTTAACAAGGGCGGCGTGCCGGCAGGGTTGTAGAGCAGGTTGGAAATAATGTTGTCTGGCGGGTGGGAGGATTGCCCGCCCCCTGGTTCAGGGCTGGTATTGCAATCCAGTAGCATCACAGCTTGGATGGCAGTACTGCAGTTGTTGCAGTCGAGTAGCTCTTTGGCGTGGAGTGTGCAAAGACCACTAAAGTTTTGGCCTACGCATGTATTTGCCCTTACAGCAAGCGCGCTTGGCTGAGGTGCGAGGGAGTTGGAGCACGTATGACATCCTGCATAAAAACGTTAAAACGGTAGTGGCCTTCGATGACTCTACCGTCAATCAACAGTCACATGTGCTTATGATATGCACGTGAGCCCTTCTCTTTGCCTTTTGAAATGCGAAGCATTTTTCAGCGCACTGCGGCGACATTGAGCGTACCTACCTATCCATCTATCTAACCACCTACAACTTTTAGCTCTCCTGGCCGTCTTGATAATGGTATCGATACCAAAATTGGTATGGGGTAACATGACTGTACGAAAACCTAATTGACTAGTCTTAACATGAAAATCAGGATATGTATGTCATGAACATCATGATTTACATTTTATGGTCTTGTTGCTTTTGTAGTGGTTTCGTTCCCATGAGGTTACACAAAACTGGTATGGTATGACATGACTGCATAGCGAACGTAAGTGATAGACCGCAACGTGAGAAACATGACTGCAAGTCATTAGTTTTATGTTATGACTAGTCAGGACTGCATGCCACACTCATGGTGTACTCGCGGTCGCTACGCTAGCTTCACATATACCAAATTTGGTATTACGGATTGATGACGAAGGTAGATGACTGGTGCAAACATGATAATCATGACATGGTTGTCTTATAATAACATGACTACATGTCACGCTCATGACGCACTCGCGGCCGTTTCGCTAGCTTTATATATAACAAATTTGGTGTTACGTGACGTCCATGGATGCTGATGCTATATGACCGGTTAAAACATAATAATCATGACATGTGTGTTATGTAAGAGCATAACAACATACCACGCTTATGATGCACTCACGGCCCTTTCGCTAGCTTCACAATAACAAATTTGGTAATACGTGACGTGAATAAGCGATGAAGGTAAATGACACGTTCAAACATGATAACCATGACGCGCGTCTCGTGTAAAACATGACTACATTCTACGCTCATTGCGTGCTAGCAGCCGTTCTGCTAGCTCCACATATGCAAATTTAGTATCACGTGACGTGGATAGACGACGAAGATAAATGACACGTCCAAACATGATAATCATGACATGCGTGTTATGTAAAAGATAGTTACATGCTACGCTTATAGCGTAATCACGGTCGTTTCGCTAACTCTTCACGTAACGTGATGTTAAATTTGGTATCACGTGACGTGAATGGACGACGAAGGTCAGTGACATATCCAAACATGATAATCATCCATGTAAATCATGTACGTCATAATTTATGACCACCTCGTAACGTTGTGCTGATTTTGAAGTGGCATATCAACATTCATCATTCGTGCATCGCATATCATCGACTCGCACAAGACGTGGGATGTGCCAGTTTTTTCTGTGACAAGGCAGGCCTATAGCAGGGGGAGAAGAGGGCACGTTGAGAAAAGGTAGAACGTAGTGGCTGATAGGGAATTGTTTTCCCCAGACCGAGATCGTTAAAGTCTCATTAAGTATGGTGAAAATAGCGTTATTATTAAAACGATGCTGTTTGAAGTACGCTTGTAAAATGTCTGTCGTGAGTGACCCAAACTTTTCATCAAGATGAGCCGACATGCTCTCGGTACATCCTCTTCAGCTGGTTCACTCCCAGGACGCGCCCGCCAATTTCTACGGCGCATCTGCACTCGAGTTGAGCCTCGAGCGGTTATCAGCTTCAGGACAGCGTTGCAGTATCTGCTCTAACCCCTTGTGCACGCGCAGTATACTACGTGTTTTCCGTTCTTTTCTTTTTTTTTTTTTCATCTACAGCTTTAGTTCTCTTTTCTTTTTTATGTATGCTCAAGAGCCTCCGAATGTCATTCGGTGTTTACGATACTGTTTTGCAATATGCGCGACTGATACATAGGATCCCTTCTTTGCCTTTTAAGTGCGGAGCACTTCAAATGCACGGCCTGTCGCACGCTGTAGTGTACTGCCATCGCTTGTCGGAACACAGACAAAACGCGTGTAACAATAGTGAAAAACGGAAAAGCAAGCGAGAAATATAAAGACATACGAAGATAGCAAAAATTTTGGAATAAGGAAAAGTAGAGGAAAACATAGAAATAAAAACTTGAAAATAGAAAAAAAATCAAGAATTGAGAAGGAAGGAAAGAGAACACACAGGAGAAGTGATGAAGGCTGCTCAGCCCTGCGGTTTGTTCAGGCTTCGAAAAGCTATTGCAAGGCTATCTTATTTATTTAACTTGTTTGTTTTTTTCGTAATGTGTGGTTTTTTATGAGGGGCGCACTGCACAATTTAACTTTGTCTCCCTGTATACACTTTCCGTTTCTTTCTTTAGAGACACAGCTTGTCTACTGCACATCAGTGCTGCGCCATCTTGCTTTGATGCGTCTGATACAAAGGTAGGCTCACTCACCCAGTAGTCGACTCACTCAAGCTCAGATCGGCCCGTGATTGTGAGCCTGAGCGAGTCCGGGTGAGGGATATTTTGGTGAGTTTGAGTTCTTGTAAATCCGGTTGAGGAAATTTTTAGTGAGTCTGAGTCCGAGTGAGTCTGGTTGAAAAAAAATTATGTTGAATCTCAGTGGGAGTAAGCCCCAACCATAAAATACATTTCTTGGGTGAGTTTGAGTGAGCCCCACCTGTTATTGCTGGTCTGTGGTCCTATTCACTCCACTTCATTGTTACTGTCAGCCTAATATCGGCTTACGTTAATGCTCAAGCTCACTCAAACGTACCCCAACGCACTCATTTTCTTGCGCCACTTCAATATTTATCGGTAAGAGGCAAGGAAATACAGCTGTAGTAATCCAGGAGCACCGTGCTATTGGAACGAGCTATTATAAAAACGCAGCTGTGATAACAAGAGCCAATCAGACGACAAAAGCCGAATCCCCCGGATTGCGTCACTGGAACTATACGTGTTCATAGCGCCGCGAATGGTGGAGCGCGAGGCGAATAGCATGGAAGCGAAACGTGTCGTCACAGGAGTAGTTGAATGACAGCACATTCATGATTGAGAGTTCGCATGATGTATCCTGCTGCTCGGTGGCAAAAGCATCATCTGATGCGGACGCACCTTCGTTGACGCCTGGTGGCACATTGCCAAACTGGCAACAAATGTTACTTATCGTCATTACGTCATTTGGATACCTGGCGTAGGTAATGTTACTCCTGGACACAGCGTATGGTAATTGCCGCGCAAGGGTGGTGTCAGCAAGCACACTTATACACCCGTGTTCGATATGCGCTCATGGTAAGCGTCTTCATTTGATGAGGAAAACGGGAAGGTGCGCGCTCACTCAGGATTGGCTAAACTACACTTCGGCTCATCCATACAACACCACACAGCACTCCAGCAGCACGAAAGTTGCAGGATTCATTGCTTGAGCCGTGAACGCGACAAGGAGAAACATCACGTGACATTGCTACAATTCATGTGATGTTTTGCCGGTTGATAGTTTGACTAATAATCATGTGTCATAAAAAATGTAGCTATCTCTTTAGACGATTACTTTTTCTTCCTTTATTCGCCATGCAGGTATCTCTATTTCTCTGACCGCATTGTGGGTGTGAGCGACTTTAGCCAGGCTCCGGCAACGAGGAAAGCGGCCGATGCCGGCAACAACGACCCCTACGTGGGTGGTGGCTGGCACAACTCGGAAACGGGCCAGGTGCTCAGCAACTATATGACCTGGCAACGACCCTTCGCAGTGGGATTCGGCTACCTTAGCGAGGGGTAGGCAAGTGCAAACTTACAAGTTCGTCGCTCAGGTGCAATGGCAGTCACGTGATGCAAAGTGTAATGCGCACCGTGGTTTTCTGTCATCCTTGTGCACAAAAGTGCAAGAGGAATGAGGTGGGATGTTGTGAATAGTAAAAAAAAAACACACACACACGCTAGGACTCGAACCACTATTCTTTGAAGCAAGTCGCAAGAGGGATACTTTGAATCGGACATCTCAATATCGGTTTTCAAGCCCCTGATGTAATTAATTTCTTTTACAGTGCACTAGATCGTTTTTATGCTTTTGAAGCTGCATGGCACTATCGTCTAAAAGTCTAAAACGCCCTTTCGGAGTGGCATTGGATGAGTTTTCAAATAGTTAAATATATGGGATCAACAGCTCTGATCATGTTGTCAAGCCAGGAGTGGAATATAAAATTAAATAATGAATTATTCTATGCACATAACTTCTTCATTTTTTTTCATGTTGGCGCCATTAGTTCATGCATTTGTAGGCCTTGCAAGTGCCATAAGGTATGTTTTCGTCTTGGCGGGTATCGTTTTGGTATGTCGTCAGCAACACTTACAATAATGTTTAACCAGGCTTCAATGTCTACGATAGTCGAGTCATCATCAAGGTCATTCCTGTAGGCGGTCCAGTCCGTGAGCAGAGCCTTTCCTGTCTTGAGCGAGTGGTGAGCTTGTTCGACCTCTATTTGAATGATGTGATGGTCACTCCCTAGTCTCCGGTAGCCTTGTCCACGTTGCGTTGTGGACGACTCTAGTGAACGTGAGATCAGGATTTGTATCCCTTGACACGCTGTTGCCCCCTCGGGTTGGATGGAGCAAGTCATTCCACAACGTCAGACTATGTTGCTGTGCAGCATCATGAACACGCGCCCCCTTCTTGGTGGTGCTGTGATAGCCCCAGGCCGCGTGTGAAGCATTGAAGTCCCCAACTATGACGAGTCGGTTGCCGTTAACCATTTGACGGATCTCGTGGACGAAGTGGTCGTATTGGTGTAACTGCTCCCGCGAAGGGCTGTAAAGGTTGGCCAGGTATAAGCTTTGTTGAGTCTTCCGAGTGGGGAGTATCTCCACGATGGTGTGTTTGATACCAATGTCTTCAATTTCATGAGTCTGTGTGGTTAGCGTCTTCTTGACTAGAATTGAGGTGCGGGGTGAGCATGTGAGAGTGCTGTAGTCAGAGAGCTTGATTTTTTCTGTGTGGATTTCCTGCAACGCGATCATACCTGGATTATTTGTTTTAATATATTCTTGCAAGTTTGCAGAACGAGGTCTGTAGGATCTGCAATTCCAGTGCCAAATTCGAAGAGTGGGGAGTGACTCAGACTGTCTACGTGTGGGAGCTGCCATTCTGGCAGTTGATTTCCGCCTGGTGCCGATCGTTTGGTGCTGTCGATCGAATTTCCGCTGCAGTTTCATCCCCTAAAGTATTTCGCTCTTTCCGCTTGGTTTTTGATTGCTCCACCAGCTGCTCATGAGTAAAGAAATTTTTGTATGCATAAGTTATGAAGTTATGCTGTTGGGTTATGAAGCCATCAAGCTTGGCGTCGAGCGTGCTTACAGTAAAGGTTAGTGGGTCTACCTTTTCCATAATGTTACTAACCACTTTCACTTTGGTTATGTCTATGGATGCGAGGAGTTTCGCAGTGAAGGCTTCCTCGAAAGATTCAAGGCGTCGTTCGACGAGGTCGAGCATCTTCGCTTCATGTGCTTACAGCCTTTCTTCTACCCGCTTCATTATTCTGGCTTCCGTCTGTTTTAGTATGCTGTCGTCAAGTTCTAGCGTGCTACACTCGGCTGGTGGGCGTTGTATCCTCCGTTTTAGATCTTGGAATTTATTTTCTAGAGCCCGGATGGTCGCAGTCCGAGCAGGCGAGATGGTCGAGGCACTTGTGGTATTTAGAGAACTGGGCCCATCACTACCGGTCACCGCGGTGGCGTGACTGATTCCTCTAACGAAGCGAAATTGTGATGGCGTGCGGGATCCAGAGCGACCTTTTTTCTTAGAGCGAGAGCGACTTTGGTCAGATTTTTGGTGAAAAGAGGGGGCCCGTGAAATTTCTGGTGTGATACCTGACCCGGGTAAATCATCGGTGCGAGCACTCCAGTGATCCTCACGGGCGAGGGCGTTATCGAGCTGCTGGCGTCTTACCTGATAAGGAGGGGGGTCGCTGAGGAGTTTCTTCTTGCATTCCTTTCCAGCAGTCTCATGGTCTTCTCCGCAGATCTTGCACATCAGTTGGCAGTCGCGTGGTTCTGTGTCCTTGTCGTGGCCGCATTTGTAGCAGAAGTTCGTTTTCGGCTGAGGGCAGATGTCTTGTCAGTGACCTATGGCGCCACATGTTTGGCAATATTAGATGGACTTCCGGTATGGCTTGCAGCTGTTTCATTCGCTGTATATATGCTATAATTGGTACTATGTCACGTTACTGTGTGACAAATACACATGAAAAGTGTTAACACAAAAATTATCGCATGTATGTTATGTATGATTTGACTTACGTTCCACGGTCACGGCGCGCTCACAGCGGTTTTGTTTCCTGGATATACACTAAATTCACTATGGCAAGACATTACTGTATGACAAACGCAAATAATGATTATTTCCATGAAAATTATGGTATGGATGTCATGTCCGGCATGATTTGCATACCACGTTCGTGGCGTGCTAGCGGCCGTTTCGTTTGCTGGATATGTACCTCATTTGATATGACGTGACATGACTGTATATCGAACTTAAGAAAATACAGCATATCCACCAGAGTACATGATCGTCACTGGGGTGAAGCGTCCATCTGTCTGTCTGTCTGTCTGTCTGTCTGTCTGTCTGTCTGTCTGTCTGTCTGTCTGTCTGTCTGTCTGTCTGTATGACTTCTGTCTGTCCGTCTGTCTGTCTCCCCGTCACTCTGTCTGTCTGTATGTCCATCCATCCGTTCATCCGTCCGTCCATCCGTTCGTCCGCCTGCCTGCCTGTCTGTCTGCCTGTCTGCCTGTCTGTCTGTCTGTCTGCCTGCCTGCCTGCCTGCCTGCCTGCCTGCCTGCCTGCCTGCCTGTCTGTCTGTCTGTCTGTCTGTCTGTCTGTCTGTCTGTCTGTCTGTCTGTATTTCATGCCACACCAATTTCGGAATTTCATACTTTCGCATCTGTATGGCATTTCGGACGCTTTTCGTATGGTGTCACTCAATCCATAGATAGCATACAATTAATGATTTTAATTAACCTTAACTCTTGAATAATGAGAACAATAAATAGTACAAACTAAAGATATGAAATTGTTATCTAACACTTTATCGTAACTGTTCACACTGAAACACTATCTGTACTTACCTCATATGTGCCTCTACAATGAGAGGTTCCCCCCATAAGTTTAAATTAAATTAGTGATAATTATTTATTACAGTTATGAAATTCCTGATGCTTCATCAACATAATGTACATCACCTCTGCAGACTTTTGCTGAGGTTTTACCATGATCAACGTGCACTTTCTCAGCAATGTACTGACAGGTGATTCCTTTACCCCTGTATTGCTGCTTTCCTGCACTATCGAAATGGGAAAGCTCTTTAGGGGAAAAAAAATCCACCCAGCGTAATCCCACGAAATCGCAAACACAAAGACAGGTTGTCCTATCGTACATGCCACAAGAGTGCAATTAGCAAAAAAAAATTATCGTTCCGTTGCAATTAGCTTTTCAAAAATCACCCCGTAAATTTTCAATGTATACACATAGGTGTCTCGGGAAAAAATCCAGCCGGCCAATTAAAACTAATCGCGTTGTACAGCATAAAGAGAATGTCCGCATTAGGTGCCTGAAGCGCAATTAGAGAAAACTGAGGCATTGCTCAGTAACCATTTTCTGAAGAACGCTCCCCGTAGCATTACGCCCAGCGCTACCACATGGGGAAGGCTTTGCCGCACTAGAAATATCCCAGATTGCTGAGCATGCAAACCTTAAGCATATCCTTTTGGTGAGGAGAGACGTTTCTCGTCTATACACCAGAACAGAGCGAGCGGAGTGCGAGCTGCCATATTCCGAATGCGAGTAGCGCCATCTGTTCAAGCGTGGCGAAGCAACACCTAGAACTGCCACGCGAAACTTCCCAAACCCGAGTCCGGCTGTACGCATATTTTGCGCTTTTTCTCTCCTCAGATTTTGTGATGTTCTGATTGCTGATTGATATGTGGGGTTTAACGTCTCAAAACCACCATATTGTCACGACGCAGACACAGCAGGAGTTCGATATAGAAGAGCTCACTTTAATTAAAAATGAAAGGCGCTCGTAAAGAGGACCGGGCAAGAGCTTCGTCTTCTTCTCTGGCTGTACGAGCTCTCCTCTGCAGGTTGAATGCGGCATTTGCCTCCCTCCAGGAAGAGCATCGACCCGATGCTCGGCTACAGAATACGCGGTGTATGTAGTTGACGTATTACGCAACTGGCTCACTGTAATATGGCTTCATCCGCACCACGTGTACGATTTCAGATTTTTGAGCTCGCGAGGAACTGTCAGGGATGACCTCATAATTCACGTCACTTAGGCGCCGTATAACATTGTAGGGACCAAAGTACTTCTTCAATAACTTTTCACAAAGGCCGCGTCGGCGAATAGGGCTCCAGACCCACACCTTCTCGCCCGGTTGATAATTGACGTATCGGTGTCGCAGGTTATAACGTTGTGCGTCATAACTCTGCTGTCGGGCGATTCGCACGCGTGCTAGCTGCCGTGCCTCTTCAGCTCGTTGGGTAAAGGCTTGAACATCCGTGTCTGTATCCTCGCAGTTGTGCAGCAGCATGGCATCAAGCATTGTCGTCACTCCACGGCCATAAAGAAGACTAAATGGCGTGCTCCGCGTAGTTTCCTGCAGCGCCGTATTATAAGCAAACGTCACGTATGGTAGAACGTCGTCCCAATTTTTATGATCCACGTCGATGTACATACTAAGCATATCAGCAATTGTTTTGTTGAGGCGTTCTGTTAAGCCGTTGGTTTG